ATTCGCCGTTGCTTTCTATAACTTTAATCCATCTTTCAAGCAGCTGATGAATTCCATCTCGGAAAAATGTTACGTTTTTGGACACGATAGAGTCGTCAAGCCATTTTCAGATCTCATCCACTGATTGGAAGTGCATATCGGACAAGGCGTGTTGCATCGACCGGAACAAGTGATAATCGGATAGAGCAATGTCTGGTGAATACGCCGCAAGTACTGCAAGACGTCCCAGCCAAGACTCATTATGGTGTCTTTTGTATTGGAAGCAATGTGTGGCCTGGCGTTGTCATGCAACAATTTCACTGGACGTTCTCCCAGTTTGCTAGTATACGGGCGTTTTCGTTCCAATTCTTGACTCAAGCAGATTAATTGACGTTGGTAGCAGTCCGCGCAGTAACTGTTTCACCCAGTTCCAACAACTTATAATAAAGCATGCCCTTGATATCCTACGAAATGCAGAGAAGAACCTTCTTTCCGAAGCGATTTTAATGATTCGCCGGGATTTACCCATTACTTTCTGCGTTTCGGATTGTCATAGAGTATCCATTTCTCATCGCCCGTAACGATTTTCCACAAAAAAGACTTTCGACGATACTTATTGAGAAGAGAAAGACACGCTGCTATTCATTGATTTTTGCTGGTTTCAGTGAGTTCATGCGGTTAGGCACCCATTTTCCTTCTTTCTGGAAATTTCCTATCTCATGTAGGCGTTTGGAAATCGTTTGCTGCGTTATTCCCAACTGATTTGCAAGCTCTTTTTGTGTTTGTGCTGAATTCTCAGCGAGCAGTTGTTCCAAATCATCAGTATCGCACTTCGGAGGGCCTCCAGGGCGCTGTTTGTCGATTAGACTGAAATTGCCGCTTTTAAACCGCTTAAATCAAAATGTGCACACATCGTACGATACAACACCTTCGCTGAGAAAGGAACGAATCGATTCGAACGCTCTTGCAGCATTTTTTCCTTGTTGGAATTCGTAAAGAATGCAGTGTCGGATATGCACCTTATCTGTTGCCATTTTCGAATACTGAACTGTACTGAACTGAATACTTTTGCAGGTTATGTTGGGCCTTTCGCCAAACTATATGTTCTTTTTAAGCTATATGTCAACTGTCAAGCTGATATTGCATAATCACAAAAGAGCGGGAAAATCTATTCAATTTAAAATTGATTTCATGACTGCTTAAAATAATTTGAGTTATTCATTTGTACACGTAATAGTTTTTGGTGCAGCCGCGCCAAGATTTTTTGTATTGAATATTTTTTATTGTATTGTTATAATAACTAATTTGTTATAATAACAAAATAACCATATAACTCAGTGTTATAATAAATAATGATAAATTTTACTTATAAAAATTTATGTTATGGACATTTTTTGTAGCTAGGTTTTTCTTGGATAATATTAGGTGTACAAATGAATAATCCAAATTATTTTAAGCAGTTATGAAATCAATTTTAAATTGAATAGATTTTCCCGCTCTTTTGTGATTATGCAATGTTGACATATAGCTATTAAAAAGAACATATAGTTTGGCGAAAGGCCCAACATAACCTTTGAAAGTATTCAGTTCAGTACAGTCGAAAATGGCAATAGATAAGGTGCATCTGACACTGCATTCTCTACGAATTCCAACAAGGAAAAAATGCTGCAAGAGCGTGCGAATCGATTTGTTCCTTTCTCTGCAAAGGTGTTGTATCGTACGATGTGTACGCATTTTGGTTTAAGCGGTTTAAAAGCGGCAATTTTAGTCTAATCGACAAACAACGCCCTAGAGATCCTCCGAAGTGCGATAATGATGATTTGGAACAACTGCTCGCTGAGAATTCGGCACAAACACAAAAAGAGCTTGCAGGACAGTTGGGAGTAACGCAGCAAATTTCCAAACGCCTACATGAGATGGGAAAGATCCAGAAAGAAGGAAAATGAGTTCCGCAAGAACTCACTGAAACCAACAAAAATCGACGAGTGGCAGCGTGTCTTTCTCTTCTCAATAAGCAGCGTCGAAAGTCTTTCTTGTGGAAAATCGTTACGGGCGATGAGAAATGGATACTTTATGACAATCCGAAACGCCGTAGAAAGTCATAGGTAAATCCCAGCGAATCATCAAAATCGGTCGCAAAACCCAATCGCTTCGGAAGGAAGCGGAGGTTCTTTTCTGCATTTGGTGGGATATCAAGGGAGTGTTTATTATGAGTTAGAACCGGGTGAAACAGTTACTGCGCGGACTGCTACCAACGTCAATTAATCTGCTTGAGTCAAGAATTGGAACGAAAACGCCCGTATACTAGCAAACTGGGAGAACGTCCAGTGAAATTGTTGCATGACAACGCCAGGTCACACATTGCTTCCAATATAAAAGACACCACAATGAGTCTTGGCTGGGACGTCTTGCAGTACTTGCGGCGTATTCACCAGACATTGCTCCATCCGATTATCACTTGTTCCGGTCGATGCAACACGCCTTGTCCGATATGCATTTCCAATCAGTGGATGAGATCCGAAAATGGCTTGACGACTTTATCGTGTCCAAAGACGTGTAACGAGGAGTTTTACCCCCGTTACTATCGTGTGACGGCGACCACCGATCGTCACACGATCGCGAGAAATCATCGCCAAGCGCCCGGCAACCCTATGCCGCGGCAACCCGCCAGACCGCCGGAAAAAACCGAATTCTGCGAAGCGGTCGGGGAAAATCGGTCCCCCCAGAAAGGGGTAATTCGCGAAAATCGCATGCGCGACTTTCCGGGAAATCGGGGGGAACTAATCCCCCAATTATCGGCCACCGATCGTCGAGAGGAATTTAGGGTATAAAACCCGCTCTCGACGAGAGATCGAGGCAGACCGTGAGAGACAGTCAGTCAGTCGGATTAGCTACCAAGGAGAGCTCCAGCGAGAATCGTGAAGAGAAGTCGACGAAGACAAAGGCATCCGCCGGTGAGTAAAGCTTCCAAGCACCGTACCGAATCACCGGGAAATTTTACAAAACCCGGCAGCCGAGCCTTGTCAATCGACCGGCATCGCGATTTTAGCGTGCTCATCCGTCTGTGTCGGCAGCAGTTAGCCACCGACACAGAATATTTCTAAGTATCTATTTCGGACCAAACGGCAGCAGTTCGCCGCCGTTCCGCGATTCATAAGTGTTCGTCCGTCTGTGTCGGCAGCGTTGGCCACCGACGTAGAATATTTCCGAAGCATCGGTTCGCGGAATTATCAGTGCTTGTCCGACTTTGTGACCGTGGTACGCTGCCCGGAATAAACCACCTCCCGCTTATCCAAAGAACAGCTGGCGTAAGTCGCCCTCAACAGGACTCGTGGCCGAGGACGTCGGCCCGCCAAGAGGCCGCGGAACATCCCCTCTGATCCCGCGGATAGGGGACCACCCTTGCGGCTAGGCAGGAATCACGGGCACCAAGGAACGGACATTGACGACGCCACACCGGGCCAGCGAGCCGCCCACATTCACTTATATATATATATATATTATATAGCATCGAACGTCTTTTAAATAAACGGGGCGCCTTGCGGGACGCACCCAACTTGTTAACACAGAAACGCTGAACACACATTTCTTCCGAGAAGCTACCTTGAATTAGCCCTTCACCCGAGTAACGCACCGACGCGGCGGCGGGCGAGGCGTCGCGGAAGCGGCGAGCCGGGCGCGACGGTGGGGCAACCGATCGCACCGAACCTCGCGGGCATTACCGTTACATGGCGATCCTGCCAGGATTCGGTCAGCTAGGGTGAAAGGAAAGGAAGAAGAAAAACAGCGAAGAGAATGCCGAAGGCGTGGATACAAGAGCTACGCAAGCCCGAGATCGCCCGAATTCTCGGAGAATACGGGCTCGAAGTAGAGGGGTCGATCGACGACCTGCGCCACCGACTGCGAAGGTTCGTGGACGCCCACCCCTCGATGTTCGAGGCCGGGCCACGAAGACGGGTCATCCCTGCCCCAATGTTGGCGGATGAAGAGTCCTCCCGAGGGGTCTCCGTCCTAGGGACAGATCTCCCCGTAAGGATCCCCACCGATGCGCAAGCAATGATGTGCGTCCACAAATGGGACTGCCGTTTTTCCGGGAAGGACCCGCTGGACTTCCTGGAGCGCGTGGGCGAGCTCCGGACATGTTATGGAGTCACGACCGCCCAGCTGTTGTGGTGCATTCCGGAACTCCTGCGCGGAGATCCGCTGCGCTGGTACCAAAACCACCGGGCCGCCTGGACAACATGGGAGGACTTCTGTGCCGCTTTCCGGAATCACTTCCTCCCGCCGAGATACCGAGCGCAACTGCGGCGAAAAATATTGGAGCGCCGCCAGCGCGCCGGGGAGGCATACTGTGTGTACGAGACCGCAATGCTCACGATGATGCGCCGTAGCGGGGATGACGATTACCTGGACAACGCCATACCGCTACTCTATGACAACCTAGATGTCGGCTACAAAATGTTCATAGACGCACACGAGATCCGAGATGTAGCCCACTTGGGACAACTAGCCCGCCAGTACGAGGATATCGTCCAGCAACGCGAGGAACAGGGGCGACCGGTACGAACCACCGGCCCCACGGTCGCTGCTCTCCTGTACGACCGTGAAACGTGTTGCTGGAAGTGCAAACAGCCGGGACATCATCGCCGAGCCTGCCGACAACCAGCCGTGAAATTCTGCTCACGCTGCGGCAAGGACGGCGTGTTAACCCGCCAATGTCATCCCACGGCGGCAAACGAGTCCGCGGCCGGGAATGGCGCCGCCACGACCCGGCCCTCCGTATAAAATATCAGCCAAGACCACACCTGACCATCCGGTACCAGCAACGCCCATTAAGGGCACTAATTGACTCTGGAGCCGAAACGTCCTTAATCGATATTCGATCGCTACGAGACGAAGATCTCCCACGAGGGGAAGCCGGCCGGATCACGCTGGCAGATGGGACCGGCAGTCCGACATACGGTCGGACTTGGCTCCACGTAGAGGTGGGACGGCAGAAGTACCGCCACCAATTTACCGTGATGGCCAACCTGACCGCGGAAGTCATCATCGGGGTTGACCTCTGGGCCCGGCTCCAGATTGCGCTGCCACCGCCCCCGAGGGACTTCCAGCGATTACAACCACCCCGAGTGGGGATCATAGAGGGGGGCCTGACGACCAGGACGGACGAAGAGAAAGCCAGATTCAACCAATTCCTGACGAGCGAACTGGCTCTCTTCGATAAAGTTTCCGGGCCGACCCCATCGATCCGCCACCAGATTCGGGTGTGCCCCGGCACGAGCCCCATCAAGCAGCGCTACCGACCACAGAACCCGGCTATGCAAGCCATCATTGATGAGGAGGTCACAAAGATAGAGGCGGAGGGAGTGATTGAGCCCTCGTCTAGTGCCTGGAGCTCCCCCGTCGTCCTCGTCCGGAAGAAGGACGGCGGATACCGCTTCTGTATAGACTTCCGGAAGGTGAACGAGGTAACCGAGCGAGACGCCTACCCGCTACCGCAGATAAGTGCGACTTTGGACCGACTACGCGGGGCCCGCTACCTATCCTCGTTAGACTTGAAGAACGGGTATTGGCAAGTTCCATTGACCAAGGACAGCAAGCCAATCATTGCGTTCACCGTGCCCGGCCGGGGTCTCCGCCAGTTCACCGTCCTCCCGTTCGGCCTGCACTCCGCGCCGGCAACCTTCCAGAGGTTAGTGGACACCGTGTTGGGCGCTGACCTGGAACCGCACGTATTAGTGTATCTCGATGATATTATTGTGTTAAGTACTACACTAGACGAACATATGAAACACTTACGAGAGGTATTCCGGCGGTTGCGGGAAGCTCGATTACGCCTCAACAGGGAGAAGTGCCACTTCTGTAGAAGCGAGCTGCGCTACCTCGGACACTTGGTGACGGCATACACACCGACCCGGCCAAGGTAATCGCCATTACCGCCTGGCCAGCTCCGAGGACGGTGAGGCAAGTCCGCCAGTTTTTAGGCCTCGCCTCCTGGTACCGGAGGTTCGTCAAGAATTTTTCCGCGATTGCGGCGCCACTGACGGAGTTGACAAAGAAAAAAGTGAGATGGAAATGGGGATCAAGGGAGGAAGAGGCCTTTGAACGACTGAAAAAGGCTCTTACCACGGCCCCAGTGCTCGCATGTCCAGATTTCCAGAAACCATTCTCATTGCAGACGGACGCCAATCAGCACGGCCTGGGAGCAGTGCTAACTCAGAACCTGGAGAAAGGCGAGCGCGTAATCGCCTATGCTAGCCGGACTCTCAACCAGGCGGAGAAAAACTATAGCGCTACCGAGCTAGAATGCCTGGCTATTGTGTGGGGCATTCGTCGATTGCGCGAGTATTTGGAGGGCTACACTTTCACCGTGGTGACCGACCATCAATCCTTGAAGTGGCTGCAGAAACTGGAAACTGCTGTAGTTCAAACTTCCACCGCCACCGGCCGGCTAGGGCGGTGGAAGTTTGAACTACAGCAGTACACCTTCAATGTAGCATACCGGAAAGGCTCGCAAAATCGCGTAGCAGACCCGCTGTCGCGCGACACCGCAGTCTGCGAAATCAGGGAAGCCACCGGATGCTCGTGGTACGAGCTGCTCAAAAAACAAGTCGCCGTTCGGCCCCACGATTTCCCCGATTACACCATTCGGGATGGGGTTCTGCATCGACACTTCCTCCACACGTTGGACTTCCGCGAAGTACCCGCTGAGAATCAGTGGAAAAAGTGTGTTCCGACCAACGATAGAAGGGAAGTATTGAAACGCTACCACGACAGTCCCGCTGCAGGCCACCTGGGAATCGCTAAAACGATTGCTCGACTCGCCGAGCAGTACTATTGGCCGGGGATGGCTCGAGACGCTGCTGGGTACGTCCGGAACTGGCCGTCTTCCGTTGCTTAGCCTATAAGGCTAGTCAACGGAAGACGGCCGGCCTCCTCCACGCCACCGCGTCACATCGGCCGTGGAAGCATGTCTCGATCGACCTGATCGGGCCGCTGCCCCGATCACGACGAGGATCCACCTGGCTGCTGACTATGCAGGATCGGTTTACGAAGTGGCTCGAAACTAAGCCCCTGCGACAGGCCACCACACCGTCGGTAATCAGCGGGATTAGTGATCTGGTGATTTACCGACACGGCTGTCCAGCCGTGATCACCACCGATAACGGAACGCAATTTACAGCGAAAGAATTTGAAACATTCTTAACAGAACATGGGATCCACCACCGCACGACACCAAGCTACACTCCCCAGTGCAATCTCGTCGAGCGCACGAATCGGACCATCAAAACGATGATCGTTCAGTTCGTCGATAAACAACACCGTCATTGGGATGAACAGCTCTCAGCCCTGCGTTTTGCGTATAATACCGCTCAACATTCCTCTACACAGTTCAGCCCGGCGTTTCTAAATCACGGGCGCGAGCTCGACCGACCGCATCCCGCCGACCGCAGTAGTACCAGGGCGGGGGCGAATCCGCAGGAAGTCGGAAAAATGTTGAAGGAAACGTACGAACTGGTGGAAGTGCATTTGGCACAAGCGTTTCAAAAACAGGAAACGCATTATAATCTGCGTCGACGAGCTTGGCGACCAGAAGTGGGAGACACGGTCTGGAAACGAGGACATCCGCTATCCGACAAAGCTAAAGCATTTAACGCGAAGCTAGCACCGAAATACAAGGGGCCGTTGATTGTAAAGAAAATTATTTCTCCAGTAATTGTAGATCTGAAAAATCCACGCGGAAAGTGGTATCGACACGTACACGTAAGGGATTTACGAACCGCTACAACAACAGACGAACCGTGTCAACAATAATCGAAGACAATACAGCATCAATATCAGAAGACCGGTAAGTATTACGCAAATAATGTATCAATAATGTATACATTAAGTATAACGGCCGATAAACGGGAGACCGCCACGCCAGCCGAACAGCCGCTACCGCCGCTACCATTCGGGCCTGCTCCACCGCCACCGGTAGGCATAAGTTTGCCCGACGGGACAACCGCGGAGATCCCATATTTCTCCGCAGTCGTCAAACGCCGTTACCGGCTCTACACTGCAGGGGCTCGATGGAACCTCTGGTTCCACCGGGAAGGCACCCTCCGCAGTGCACATCGCGTAGGGCAGGAATAAGCCCTAAGCTATTAAAAAGGGGGGGGGTAATGTAACGAGGAGTTTTACCCCCGTTACTATCGTGTGACGGCGACCACCGATCGTCACACGATCGCGAGAAATCATCGCCAAGCGCCCGGCAACCCTATGCCGCGGCAACCCGCCAGACCGCCGGAAAAAGCCGAATTCTGCAAAGCGGTCGGGGAAGATCGGTCCCCCCAGAAAAGGGTAATTCGCGAAAATCGCATGCGCGACTTTCCGGGAAATCGGAGGGAACTAATCCCCCGATTATCGGCCACCGATCGTCGAGAGGAATTTAGGGTATAAAACCCGCTCTCGACGAGAGATCGAGGCAGACCGTGAGAGACAGTCAGTCAGTCGGATTAGCTACCAAGGAGAGCTCCAGCGAGAATCGTGAAGAGAAGTCGACGAAGACAAAGGCATCCGCCGGTGAGTAAAGCTTCCAAGCACCGTACCGAATCACCGGGAAATTTTACAAGACCCGGCAACCGAGCCTTGTCAATCGACCGGCATCGCGAATTTACCGTGCTCATCCGTCTGTGTCGGCAGCAGTTAGCCACCAACACAGAATATTTCTAAGTATCTGTTTCGGACCAAACGGCAGCAGTTCGCCGCCGTTCCGCGATTCATAAGTGCTCGTCCGTCTGCGTCGGTAGCAATTAGCCACCGACGTAGATTAATTTCTAAATTCCTGTGCGCGAGGATAAGTGTTCGTCCGTCTGTGTCGGCAGCGTTGGCCACCGACGTAGAATATTTCCGAAGCATCGGTTCGCGGAATTATCAGTGCTTGTTCGACTTTGTGACCGTGGTACGCTGCCCGGAATAAACCACCTCCCGCTTATCCAAAGAACAGCTGGCGTAAGTCGCCCTCAACAGGACTCGTGGCCGAGGACGTCGGACCGCCAAGAGGCCGCGGTACATCCCCTCTGATCCCGCGGATAGGGGACCACCCTTGCGGCTAGGCAGGAATCACGGGCACCAAGGAACGGACATCGATGACGCCACACCGGGCCAGCGAGCCGCCCACATACACTTATATATATATATATATATATTATATAGCATCGAACGTCTTTTAAATAAACGGGGCGCCTTGTGGGACGCACCCAACTTGTTAACACAGAAACGCTGAACACACATTTCTTCCGAGAAGCTACCTTGAACCTTCACCCGAGTAACGCACCGACGTGGCGGCGAGCGAGGCGTCGCGGAAGCGGCGAGCCGGGCGCGACGGTGGGGCGACCGATCGCACCGAACCCCGCGGGCGTTACCGTTACAGACGTAACATTTTCCTGAGATGGAATTCATCAATTGCCTGAAAAATGGCTCAAAGTTATAGAAAGCAACGGCGAATACTTTGATTGAACAATTTAATTTACTTTCTTTTAAAATAAACTTGAATGTAGCTGAAAAAATTAGATTATTCACTTGTACACCTAATAATAACCTTTAAAAAGATATTTTTTTTAATATTGGACACTATTAATAAACGTGTTAAATTTTTATAACACGATATAATTTTTAATTGTTAAAACATATGTACATATATATCTTAAAAGAAAAATAATTTGATAAGTTTTACTTGTAAAAACTTATGTTATGTACATAATATATATCTTAAGACAGGAAATAATTTGAATTTGAGATTTCTAAATATATTAAGTATATAATAATCACATATATATATTAGGTTTCTCAGTTGGCGTTACTATTTTAATATCAGGTGTAGTAAAAAGAAATCCATTATTTTTGCATGAAATTGAAGGCTTTAATTACCATAGTTAGAATGATCCGATTTAGGTCAAATATGCGCCGTTTTGTTCGATAACTTGTTGCCATTTTGAAGGTAATTTCATTATGCCTCTCTCATAGAAGCCCTCGTCCCTATTGGCAAAAAATTGAGACAGTTGATTTTCACAAGCCTCTCTTGAAGCGAATTTTTCACCAGCAAAATTGTTCGCCATGGACAGGAACAGATGGTAATCACTTGGTGCCAGGTCCGGACTATAAGGTGGATGCATAAGAACCTCCCAACCAAGCTCACGAAGCTTCTGGCGAGTCATATCGATGTGTGTGGCCTGGCATTGTCCTGACGGAACATAATTCCTCTTCTATTGGCCAAAGCTGGCCGCTTCTGGGCGATTGCTTCCTTCAGACGATCCAATTGTTGACAGTACAGTTCAGAGTTAAGAGTTTTGCCGTAGGGGGGCAGCTCATAGTAGATAATTCCCTGCCAATCCCACCAAACACACAGTAAAACCTTCCTGGCCGTCAATCCTGGCTTGGCCACCGTTTCCGCCGGCTCACCGCGATTCGACCACGACCGTTTTCGCTTGACGTTGTCGTAAGTGATCCACTTTTCATCACCAGTGACCAACTGCTTCAGAAATGGGTCGATTTTGTTGCGATTCAGCAGCGATTCGCAGATGGAAATTCGGTCCATGAGGTTTTTTTTCGTTAACTCGTGTGGCACCCATACATCGAGCTTCTTTTTGTATCCAGCCTTATTCAAATGGTTCCAAACGGTTTTTCGTACAATCTTTAGCTCTTGGGCAATCGAAACAGTGCTTACATGACGGTCGGACTCGACAATGTCCATGATTTTATTGATATTTTCGACAATTTGCCTTCCAGTGCGTGGTGCATCTTTGACATCGAAATTACCGGAACGGAATCGACGAAACCAAAATTGCGCGTGATTGGCTGTTACAGTATCAGGACCATAAACACTATTCACATTTTCAGCCGCCTGGCTTGAGTTTTCGCCTTTATCGAAGAAAAACTGTAAAATATAGCGTATTTTCTCTTTGCTAGTGTCCATCTTTGACACGCGCTCAAACAAAACTGAGTCAACTAATCACAAAACTGTCAGAAAAGTTTTTTTAGTACGAAATCTCATCTTTCTAACGCCATCTAGTGGAACCCGATCGGACTTATACAACGCGAGATACAGATAACTAAAGCCATCTATTGAAAAAATAATGGATTTCTTTTTACTACACCTGATATATCACTTCTTTTGTACAGTAGAATAGTGTTGTAGGGTTTTATTATAGTTATAAGTTTTACTTGTAAAAACTTATGTTATGTACACATATATACCTTAAAAAAGAATAATTTAAATTTGAAATTTCTAAAAATAACACTATATGTGTTGCGCTTATATTTGGTACCTATTTTTTACCCTTTTGTTTAAAAAGATAAGTTTTATATAAGTTTTACTTGTAAAAACTTATGTATTATCTTTAGTATTACATAACATGTATTATGTACATGTATGTTAAAAAATTTAAAATAATAATACTTACATTTCTCTAATATTAAAATATCTAAAACTCATACAATAATAAAATATAAATCATTTCTTTACAAATACATCTAATGTAAAATACTCTTAAAATAGATATGTCAAAATAATATTAGAATGTATTGAATATTAATAATATAATATATTTGTTGAAATTAACTTGATTCTATCGACACATATTATATCTCTCACTCCTCTCTCACTCCTCTCTCTCTCTCTCTCTCTCTCTCTCTCTCACTCCTCTCTCTCTCTCTCTTTCTCTCTCTCTCTCTCTCTCTCTCTCTCTCTCTCTCTATCTATCTATCTATCTATCTATCTATCTATCTATCTATCTATCTATCTATCTATCTCTCTCTCTCTCGCTCTTTCTCGTTCTCTCTCGCACATGTTCTCCTATACTGCATTGTAGCATATCTCTCGCTTACTCGCTCGCATTTGCTGCTATCTGCTTCTTCAGCGCTCTCGTAGCGCCCTTGGTGTCAGAAAAGCAAGATGCACGCATATCCCCAGTACTGTGCGTCCGACATTTCTTACTTACTTTCTTACTGAATCGAAATTTTCCGTGATTCGGACTTTATCTTAAAATATCTCCACTTAGAGACAACGTACATAAAAATCACAACAATATTTTGCTTCCTATTTTTTAAGGCCGAATCGATTGGGACTAAAAAAACCTCGATCGGTTCAGCCATTGCTGAGATATGAATATCTCACCTCGTTTGAACTCGCAGTTTCGCGTTATATAGGCACGGTATGCCTCTTGATATATGATATTAATCATACTTACTTATTAATTTTCAAAATAATAATATACGTGTATATGTATGTTATTACGAATATGTAAACATATATATGAAGGGGCACAAATGCTGGAAAAAGCCAAGCGATTCTCAAATATTGTCGTAAACAACGCGGACAATATCTAAAAAATGATTATGTACGTATGTACGTAAATATATATATGTACGTATGTACATACATATATACATAGGTTAATATGGTAATAGGTTAATATGGTTAATATGGTTAATATGGTAATAGGTTAATATGGTTATAGTATAGATTAATAATAATGCAAAATATTATATACATATATACATGTACGTATATATATATCTTATTACATATGAATATGTAAATATATAACATACTCTGTGTACAAAAGAAATATATGTCTACGTTTGATAGGATGAAGCCAATCTTAATACTTCCATGTCGATTATGTTTCTGCAAATTAGTTTGCAAAATATAAGAATTCCTCATCATTAGTAATAAGCGGACTGCGAGAGGAATTCAGGCCTTATATCTTCTGCTTCGACTCGTTGACCTATAACATTCTTAATTATGGCCGTGAATATGACACGTCCGTCCTAAATCGCGCCGTACGGAATTATTCATTCGGGTAC